TATGATTTATTGAATGTAAAACTGATGATCTGCCCTGTAAACTTTCACACAATTCACACAAAAAAAACATAAAAAAAAAAAAAAGTAGAGGTAAAATCATATATAAAATATGTGTTCACTGTCAAAACAACTTGGCAATGCTAAAGTATGAAGAAAGACTGAAATCTGTTATCAGTTGTATCTTCTGAACATGCCAGCTATTTTTTACTTAATAGGTACTGCCTCATTAATCATTGAGAAATACTCTTTGTTGTTGCCCAGGACTAAGGAGCTTCATAACAATAGGGAGTTTCAAATTTTAAATCTAACATCTTCATTTTAGAATGGGGAGTGAAATTATTTGCTCAAAAGGGAAAGAAAATTTCAAGATTTCTAAATTTTCTGTTCAGTTTTCTTTTTCTGATACAAGGTAGACAAATATTTACCAGATATATGGCTGAATTGGTCCAATGATTCTTAGGTGGGGAGGGGCAGGTGAGGTATCAAAATCACCAATGAGTATTGGGGGTTAAAGCTACACATGTCTCCCTATCTTGTCCAAACACCTTGAGAAGCAATGTTTTGGTTTGCCACTGTTTCTGATTTGCATCCTATTTCTCAAAACACTGAGGCATAAAAAGGCTACATACCACACATAACTGTAATCTGTAATGGTGGATTAGAACAAAACCACTGGCACACAAAGGAACATAATCACAACCTTGGCCAGAATAGTAAATTGGTAACCTCATCTGTTTACAAAACTGTTTATCAAAGCTCTTTACACTAAACTTTTATAAGAAACTCTGTTACTGCATTGTACACTTAGAAACTGTTGACAGATTATGTTTTGCTACTTATATTTGCACTACAATATATTTTTTTTAAAGGAACAAACTCTGGTTTTATCGTAACAGTTAAACTTAAAAGGAACTGCCACCCATGGACATGGACATAGCCACGGAGGGCTAGAGCTGAGAGTGAAGTGTCCAGCTGATATGAAGTGAGGGGAGATGAATAAGAATGTCCAAATTTGGATATAGTACACATTGGACCTAGCCTTGATGGCTTGATAACCAGAACTTGACTAAAGGAAGATTAAAAAACAAACAAACAAACAATTTTTGATAAAGGAAACAAGTGTAAATTGCTACCATTTGATGAACCTGACCAATACTTATGGATGTAGTACCTCAAAATACTAACTGAGAGGGAAGGAGTCTTCATATCAAGTATAAATCCTATCCCTTCTGTGTACAGAGTAGATAGTAACGGGCAATTTAGACACTGTCTACCTAAAATGGGGGTTGGGGGGTTGGAGGGTGGGATGGTGGTTAAGGCATGAAGTGACTGGCTTACAAGTTTTCAAGAGGGAGTTTAGTTTCAGGATGTGTGGGGGAAGGTGGAATCCCCACTGAATAGTTTTCATCTTGTCTAGATGGGTCTGGCAAAGGAGATGGGGATATGATTCTTATGATTCAACAGTGAATAACTGTTATCATGACTAACTGTGACTGTCACAACTGTAAAGGTAGAAGTTATGCATCAAAAAGGGGGGAGAAGTTAATCTTACAGTCCAGGAACAGAAGACTCTATGACAATCAAGGTAGAAGAACATAAGTGGAATGTGGGACCCTATCCAGACAAGCAGCGACACCAGAGATGGAGGCAGACATGAGGACACGAAGAGAGAGAGCAGCTGAGGACTCTACACTCATGGAAAGAGAAAGGCTGTGTGTTGGTGACCAGGAGGCAGACTTGCAGAATGTGCCCTTTGGTTGTTTCAATGATTATATATTCCTGAGTGTTTTTGTGTACACCGCCCCCCTCCCCCCCAAAAAAAAACCCCAGAGAGGTGGAGACCTAGTTGGCCAGCAGTGTGGCAAAACCTGGGGACTCTTGGGCCCAGAGTCAGTGACATAGCCACAGAGGACTAGAGTGGAGAGTGAAGCATCCAGCTGATAAGAAGAGAGGGCATATGCATAAGAACACCCACACTTGCAGATAATACCCACTTGACCTGGCTTCAATGACTGGATGATCAGAGCTCAAGTAGAAGAAGAAAGAAGAGGAAAAAAAAAGAGTAATCTGATAAAATAAAAAGAGGGAGCAAATCTTTACAGCGAGAATCATAGGATAGACAGGGATGGGCAACTTGAGCATTGGCTACCCAAAATGGGGTGCTACAAAGGCAAGAAGTGACTGGCTTATAATTTTTTAAGAGGGATCCTAGATCCAGAGGGCGGTAGAATGAAGGCAGAATCTCCACTGAGTAGTATCCAATCTGTTTAGGTGGGGCTGATGAAATATAATGCAGATAGGTCTCTTGTGATACAATAGTGAATAACTGTTGGCAATGTAAAGGGTAGACATTTTGTAGCAAGGAGGGGAGTGATTAACTTTTCAGTCTAGGAGCAGAGGTCCCTGGGACCATGAAGGGTGAAGAGCTGAGAGCGGGACCCTACCCAGAGAAGCAGTGATGTCTGAGATGGAGGCAGAGATGATGACATGGAGAGATGGAGCAGCTGGGGACTTTAGACACAAAGAGGGAGAGGGGCTGTGTGCTGACAAGTGGGAGGCAGGCTTGTAGTGTATTCCCTTTGATTGGTTGATGATCCATGGAGGGGATTGTAACCATGGCAATGAAACGATATATGATAGGATAAATGTAAAACTAATGTTCTCCCATTCAAACTATCACATAATTCACAATAAAACATTTAAAATAAAAAAAGAAGTGACTGGCTTACAACTTTTCAAGAGGGATCCTAGAATCCAGAGGGCGTGGAGGAAGATAGACTCTCCACTGAGTAGTATCCAATCTGTCTGGGCGGGGCTAATGAAAGGAGATGGCGATAGGTCTCTTGTGACACAATAGTGAATAATTGTTATAAGAACTGATTGTGAGGGTTGGAAATGTAAAGGTAAATGTTTTGTAGCAAAAGGAGGGGAGTGACTGACTTTGCAGTCTAGGAGTGGAGGTCCCTGGGACCATCAAGGGAAAAGAGCAGAGAGCGGGACCCTACCCAGAAAAGCAGTGACACCAGAGATGGAGACAGAGAGATGACGTAGAGAGATGGAGTGGCTGGGGACTTTAGACCCAGAGAGGGAGAGGGGCTATGTGCTGACCACCAGGGAAGGGGAGGGGTGGCAGGCTTGCAGGGTATATCCTTTGTTTGATGATGCATGGAGGGGATTGTAACCATGGTAATGAAAGATATACGATAGGATAAATGTAAGGCTAATGTTCTCCCATGTAAGATATCACATAATTCACAATAAAACATTAAAAAAAAAAAAAAAAAAAAAAAAAAAAAAAAAAAAAAAAAAAAAAAAAAAAAAAAAAAAAAAAAAAAAAGGAAGTAATCAAAAGAAAAGAAGAAGAAGAAGAAGAAAAAAAAAACCTAGAGGGAAAAGAAGCAAATACTCTTGAATGATGATGCACGGTAGAGATTGTAATCATTGCAATGAAACAATGAATGTAAATCCAATGTCCGCCCCAATTCACAATAAAAACTTAAAAAAAAAAAAAAAGTAATTGCCAAAGAAAAATCAAAGAACTGGTCTGAGAATTTGATAATTTGCAAAACAAGGTTCGTTTACGTATTTGAAAGACTTTTCTGGGGTGACTATTGGAAGAGGCAAAAACATTGGTGAAATTTATCAACTGTCTGGCGGGAACGCTAGAAACTGATTTAAGACATGGTTACAGCCAAACAACCCCCTCGCCCCTCCCACACCATCCCACACCATCTTAATCATTATTATGAAAAGTTACTAAGGGCAGGGACAGACTTTCTCTAGTTTTGGTAGAAAGCAACATGACAACACAGACTCAACTTGGAGGCAACAACTCCAGATCTGCTTGGCCCATGTTAATAATTAGCTGACTCCATACCTGATCCAATCCTCCTCCAGCTCATCACATGACTCGCCACCAGTTGTGTAGTCTGTTTCATAGTGGTCTTGCTCTGTTCTCCTTGATTTCCCTGCTCTTCCCTTCGTGGCAGCCCCTTTTGCAGGTGTCTCAAAGTTACCACTGCTGCTGTAACGAGGCTGTCTGTAGTCATCCACAGGTGAAGTTAGCGGAAGCTCCTGAGCCACCTCAGGTACCCTAAGAAAACAGGAATCAATTTCTAGTAACTACTGGTTATACTACAATCCTCTGCCCGAGCACTGTAGTCCCACTACCAGCAACAATAAAATTCACATGCGGGTGCCCAGACTCAAGGACTTGGCATGCTCATACTAAGTAGACCTCTAGTTCCTGCATTTGGTTTAGTGCTATCTCAGTTCTCTAACACGTAGCTTTAAGGCTCATTTCCAACCTTTTTAAATAAATTGGATCAAGGTTTCATTTTAGAAGTTCAGGCAGATATGGAAAAGGTGTTTGCCTGACCTGTGCCGGAGACTTACTCTGCGGAAGGATGTCAAAAAATAATGATTATGAGGATGTTAAGAGTTGGTCATATCGACTTTGGACATGTTATTTGGATGGACCAGTCCCTGGAGAAGGACATCATGTTTGGTAAAGTAGCAGATCAGTAAAAAAGAGGAAGGTCCTCAATAAGATGGGTTGACACAGTAGCTGCAATAATGCGCTCAAATATAACAATGATCATGAGCATGGCACATGGCTAGGCAGTGTTTCCTTTTTTATATTCTTGTACATAGAGTTGCTGTAAATCAGAACCAACTTGACACACTAACACCAAAAATTAATTCTATAATAGTAAGTATATTATGAGAACACTGTGCAAACATAATCAATGGAATTTACAGATAATTCCAGAATAAGTTTACAGAAATTTGTTGACTGCATCATTGATGGGCAGGCTATTGTAGCAAAGCTACAATTACACATAGTACCACAGGCTACACCAGTGTGATTAGATATAAGGGAGAAAAAGGATATTTGAATAGTAGAATTTTCACAAAATTTCATAATGATATAGAATATGATCATGAACTTCTTTTGAAAAACACAATGTACTTGAGTGAGTTGTTGAAGATGGAGTATGCATTTATTTCTTTACAAAGAGACAGGGTATCAAATTTGATGACCTTTACCTTGATGAGAAGTAGCTCTTATCAATGTTTCATCAGTGGATGTTGTTAAAAATATGAACATATAATCTGACCCTTCAAGGTAAAGAGTAAGTAAGAAAGTAACTGTTTTGCTAAATAAATTCATGAGTAGGAGAGTCTTCTTAAAAACCTTTCTACCTTTCTATTGCTATGTGATTTTCCCCAAAAGTGAAGTATAAAACATATAATGTTCACAAACTTGTACACACTTAAACAGAAATCTCAAGATTGCTTAAAAATCTCCCAAAGTTTCAACTGGTTTGAGACCAGTTTGCTTAAAAATGTAAAAATGAAATATCTTCCAATTAGTTTGCAAGAATAACTGCCTGACACAGGAAGATAGAAATTTACTAACCCAATTTCAACAAAAACTTTTGCATAATTGGTGGGTGACATTGAAAAATTAGAATCATAATTTAGTAAGCACAGCCACCAACACCATTCTTTCCTTTGGGTCAACATCTCTTTGTGAGGAATCCTCTTCAACTGACACCCATTAAAAATAAGTTTGTGTTTTATATGAATTTATAACTTCAATACCTTACTATATCAGAGTGTTAAAATTTCTAAAATAATAAAACATATTCTATCTTAAAAAAAAAAAAATAATGATTATGATTCTTTCTACAGGTTCTTCCAGCCCCATGGAATGCTGAGTAGGGAAGATGAATGCAATTACATATCGAACTTTGGTGCTTGACTCTCAGACACAAGTCCTTTGTAACATAAATTTTAGACTACCATACACCAATTCTCTTTGCAAAATAAAATCCTTAATAAAAGTAAAAGAAATGAGAAGGTAAAAGAGCTAAATAGAAAATTTCAAAGGGCAGCTGGAAAAGACAAAGTCAAATATTATAACAAAATGTGCAAAGACCTGGAGCTAGAAAACCAAAAGGGAACACAACACTCAGCATTTCTCAAGCTGAAAGAACTGAAGAAAAAAATCCAATTCTATGGGCAAAACATTGAAAGATGCAGAAAGCATGAAAGGAAGACGGAAGGAATACATGGTGATATTCAATCATTTCAAGTGGTAGTATATGGCCAAGAGTCAATGGTACTGAAGGTTCAAGGTGCATTGAAGGCATTGGCCAAAAAAATGGCTCCAGGAATTGATGGAACTGAAGTTTTTCAACAAACTAATGCAGCACTGCAGGCACTCACTCAATGATGCTAAGAAAGTTGGAAGGCCAACCGACTGGAAGAGATCTGTATTTATGCCCATTCCAAAGAGAGATGACCCAACGGAATGTGGAAATCATTGGACAGTATCATTAATATCACATGCAAATAAAATGTTGCCAAAGATCATTTTTAAATGGCTGCAACAGTACATTGACAGGGAACTGCCAGTTTCAAGCCGAATTCAGACAAGGACATGGAATGAGGGATATATCACTGCTGATGTCAAGATATATCATTGCTGATGTCTGAAAGCAGAGAATAGCAGAAAGATGTTTACCTGTGCTTTATTGACTATGCAAAGGCTTTTGATTGTGTGGATCATGACAA